CTGGTTTTAAGTCTTTCTAAATGAACCTCATCTTGCAAAAGAGGTCGTCATACATCACCTCAGACGAGCTACCCGAGTCCACCAAAATTCTCTTGACATCATACTTGTTGACTCACAAGATGATTACCGAAGCGTCTTCATGTGGGAATGCTAACCCGCCTAGGTCGGCATCGAAAAAGTGAATGACCTCGGCGTTAGGCCGAGGCTTCTTGGATGACTACTCCTCTACCCGTTTTCCTCCACTTTTACTACTTGTGAGACCCTCTAGAGGTCGACTCGGAGGGAGTTATGTTTCACTCTCTCAACGGTGCAAGCATGTATGACTTCGATCACAGTTGCCGCTTTATGAGGCGCGTTGGCTCCTTCCCCCGCCGAGCCTCCGGGAGGTCTCTTATCAATGAACTCCCCCAGATGCCCGTCTCGGATCAATTACTCAAGGAAGGACTTGTGCACCCTTCAGTCAAGTGTCCTACATCCCTATGATAAGAACACCAAGACGTCAAGTCTCTCATTGATGGGCCTACTTGCATCTTGGGGAGCCACTTGAAAAAAGGCTTCCCCTTTATCTTGTGTAGCATTTTATAATGAGTTCCTTGAAGACTGTGTTCACTCCTTGAAAAGATAAGCGATTTGGAGGTGGGATGAGTGCCTCTCTCCTTGCAGGTGGCTCCTTCTCCTTTTTCCTAGGCACCGGGGCCCTACTCTCGGGCATGATAGATTCTTCCTCCACCTTGGCGTATTTGTTTATTCGGGCCATCAAGACCTTTATATCTCCTGGAGCTCTCTTAGTAAGAGATCTGTAAAGGTCAGTGTCCCGAGATAATCCCAGCCTAAATTTTGTTGCAGCCATTGCCTCCGAGCAAGCCTTGACCTCGTTAACTTCCTCCCAGTACCTGATTGTGTACTGTCGAAGAGACTCTCCACCTCTCCGTTTGAGCGTCAACAAAGTGCTGATGTCTTTCGGCGTTTTACTACTGGTGATGAATCAAGCTACTAAGATCTCGATCATTTGCTTCCAAGATCTGCTACTTTCCGGGGCTAAGCTCTTATACCACTTCATTGCAGTGTCCCCCAAGCTCATGGGGAGAACTTTGCACTGAAGCCTTTGGTCAATGTCTTAAATGGACATCAACTTCTTGCATTGTCGTAGGTGGCTCTCGAGATCCATTCTCCTGGATTGCTCGTACAAACGAGGAATTGATTTGCTCGTCCTCATCTTCATCCCCCTAAGGTTTGGGTCTCTGACGCTTGGCATCTAGGCGCGCTCGGAGGTTCCCTTGGGGTCTTCCTTCTCTAGACCCTCTCGCAGTGGACTCCGTATGGGACTCAGTTGCCGCGGCATCTCCTGATAGTCCATGGTGGAGATCTCACCAGGACAGGCCCGCCCTATGGTGATCCCATTTCAACCCTTCCTCAGGAGCAAGCTTTCCCCAGCTTTGTAGGTTGTGCCTCTCGGCCGTGCGCCTGTGCAAGCTTCTCCTGGGGGCATCTAGCCCTACGCCCCTGGAATCGCCTCGGTTAGAATTTTGGTCTCCACGCTTACTGCTTCATTAACTAGCACTCCCCGATTGCTCGAAATTATCGAGCCAATATTGTACCTTGGCGTTATCCTTCTCAAGTTGTTTGATGTGCTTTCCCATTTGTTTTTCCATCAACTCAACGATCTCACGAGCCAAAAGGTCTTGCCCCCAAGGCCTTGACCCATAGGGAATGTTCGTTGTGAGGCATGCTTGCCTCCATCTGATCGGCTCAAGAAGTCTAACTCTGTGATTGCTAGGAGCCGGGTAGCCTCCGCGTTTCTCATGCATAAACTTCGCCCACCCATCACCTTGGGATCGTGTGTTCACCATGGAGCAATCACTACGGGATAAAGTTCGTAATGTTCCCACAGACAACGCCAAATTGCACGTGAGATTTTTTGCAATAGATTGAGATAGCAATCCTCTCGATAATGAACTTAAAACAACCACAAAATTAGAAAAGGGTTCGGGTGAACACTTGGCTTATCCCTTTCGAGGCTTAAGTCAGTATAAGATTAGAGGCTTTAGCATAGTGTTGCTCTTTTCTCAGTTTAGTCTCACGTACCTTTGTTCATTTTTTTGAGAAGTTTTTATACCTGAATTAGTAATGAGTGTCAAGGCTTGGAGTCTCATCTCAACATTTAATGACCTACACTCTTACCCATGCTTAATAAGTGTTCTTCATTCAGATCTTCGTGCCTAGTTTACTCAGGCAATAGGGTGACTGCTCGGAACATGCCGAGCACTTATGGCCCTATCCCCGGTCATTTAAGTCTTCTGATCGGTGCTTGACACCTACTCCAAAGCGTTCAATACATGGGGAATAGTACCTCAGGGTGCGTCGAGGAGATATACTCGACGCAATATCCTTTAATGTTACGCAATCATGACTGCTGCTTTGAGTCTCGAGCTTTCATGTCTTCTTAAATGTTGGTGTTAGTACATGTACTTGGCTCCTCAGAGCCATTACTCCTCGGCACCATTTCTCGGCGCCTTTTGAACTTCATAACAGCTACATCTTTACACGTGTAGATCTGGGGGCTGCTGAACCGCCTAAAGTCCCCGTCAGTTCCTTCCCTATCTGTTAAGACAATACACTTAAGTTTTTCATTTCAAATGGAAAACTCAAGCAGCATATCTACTGGTCTTTATAATCTCTTAAACTTCTTAAAGTTTTAGATTTTAGACAACACAATCAAATTTTATGTTTGCAAAGAAAGAACCTGAGGTAGTAGTAGGGTTTTTTTTGACACTCTATACCAAGAAAAACTTAATAATGATGAGTTATGCTAGTGTGATGATCCCTTAATGGTGGAATTCTAATCCTTGGGTTCCATTCCACGTTAATCACCAACAACAAAACAATAAGGGTAATAATCCATATATCAAAACTAGTGATACCCCATGACTAAAGTTATTGTACACTGAGATATGACACTATATATATATTGGAGTGTGTGTATGCGTGTGTATCTGTGTTGGAGTATGTGTACGTGTGTGCAGGTGTGTTGTTGAGTGCGTGTTGGGTTTGTGAATTGGGAGGAAAATATACCCTCATAAGTTCAAAAATCTAGCTGATTTATTATATAGATTTGGGAAGACTTGATTATTGCATTGACAGAAACATCATGGCATGCATAAATAACGATATTGACAAAAGTTCAAACACAGGGAGTCATGATGATGATGATGAGAATCAAAAGGAAAAAATTGCAAATATCGATCTTGAAGAGCTGATGAGTTATGTTCTCAATCACGAGGATGGTAAAATTGAAGAATTAATAGAGACTAATCAGTAGAGAGGTAATGATATTTATTTGATCCATTGAAAAGATGCAATGAAAATAAAGAAGTTAGTATCCCTACATTCGAAATCATCTCGAGATGCTTACCTAGAAGCGGACCATATTTTTGCCCAAGAATTATCACTAAAGGCTTAGGCAGAACGAATGCTCGGTGAGAAACTTCGTCCGAAGGCAACATAAAAATATATTTAAATTCTTGATAATCTAATAAGCACAAGTATTAAATTCTTAAATTATCTTCCAAGGTTATATGCCAATAACATTACTCTTTTTTTATGGGTATTTTTGGGCCAAAGAACTAAAAAAATATTTTTTTTTTTGGTAAAATCCAATTTACCCCTTGTGGTTCAGGAGATAAAGCGCAAAACATCCAAACCACAAGGGGGTAAATTGGATTTTATCCTATTTTTTTTGTTTGGTTTAATAGTTAGAGGTGCCTAAACCAATTTACACGCACCTTGATGAATTTTTTTGTCGGTCTGATAAAAAACAAGTTATTTAAGACAGAATTAGGTATTCATGAAGAATATTTCTCATAGCTTAGTCAAAGAATTGTTAAGATTCAAACTCAAAATATTTAAATTTATAACTCGTTTATATTATTAGTTGAACTACTTTGGAGTTAATTGAAAACATCTGGCTTATTCATTTAGGATTTTAGAGATTAGAGCGAAATTTTAACCAAGTGGGAGACTCCAACATTAAATCCCCTACTCCATCTTGACCATAACCGTCAACATAGGTTCATCATGTACTTTATTCTGTTAGTTGGTCAATAGTTTAGAGACCCTCACAGCATTTAAAACAAAAGGCAAATTTTATTTTTACACCCCTTATGGCTTCATATAACCCTATTTCAACCCCCTTGTTATTTTTAATTTTTTATGAACAGGTTTGTGAAAAGGGGAAGAAGATGAATGGAGGGGTATATTTGTCCTTTTGCACTTATGACTGACTTCGACAGAAATTTCACACCCGAACAATCGAATTAAACAGGCTAATACAATTTCTGTCGAATTGGGTACAAACTATAACCACACACTTTATCCAAAACCACGAGAACTATGGTTATAATTGAGCCATATGGGTGTAAAGTGCTATATCATCAAACTACAAGGGCGTAAAATGAAATTTTGCGTTAAAAGAAAAAAAAAGAATAACTCCTCCTTGCAGCAGAAGGATTTATTTTTGTAGCCTTGCATGTACATGAAAATATTTGGGAAGAGTTACAATATTTAGCTAACGTTCAGAACCATACTTTCGGAGTTCAATAGTTTCTAACATTTAGAACGATTCTTTCGGAGAAATGGCTCTTCCGACAATCTGATCAACCCAGATTCGAATCCTTTCCCATTGATGTACATCAAATTAAAAAAAAAAAAAAAACTTTGGGCTTTTGTTACGGTGCCATCAAATTCTCAGAATGTGAAATACTGATAGATTTCAAGTTCTCCATATTGTCAGACATTTGTAAAATCAATGGAGTTTAATATTAAGCTACAGATAAATAAATGTCTTATAGCCATTATGCAAATTCCAATAGCTAGACATATTATTAAGCACTAGCACAATGGTGAGAACACCTATTTTTTAAGTGGAAATGTGTCATAGGAAGAGAAATGTACATATGAACCAGAATGAAAAGATACTAGGAACTGCACAGGGTAGGCTATTTTCAGTGGTACAAGACGGCAGTGTGAATTCGACAATAGCATGATCCTTTCCATGTTTCGGCTAGATCTTTTCTATTACACAGCACTGGACCGGTAATCATTTGCCATTGTTGTCTATCTGAGAAAACCACAAGAATATGACAAGCAGGCAAGCAGTCAAAATGATTTTTACAAGTATATGGTGCCCATAACAATTGGTTTACATCAATATGTACACTTTATACCAATGAAAAATATGAATCATTATTTTTATTTCTTTGGGAAATTCGATAGATATGAATTATAAATACCTGAATGAGAACTTTGACTCCAACCCAACCAACTTTCATGGGAGCGCAAACCAAAAAACCAAAAGAAAAAACACGCAGAGAAGTAAGGGAATAGATATTTGACTCCATTTCAAAGTTGAGAGGGAAGCTATTAAGTACCTCAGTGGTATGTTTACAAAAACAAAAATTCCTAGCAAGAGCCGCATCATCTATTGACCCGGAGAATGTTGTTATGTATGGTACCCCTGGTAGTTGACTCCCTCTGAGGATCAACCCTCCAATGGCCATCCACAATAAATTTTATCTGAAATCATAGAAGGATGTCAAGATCAGTAATAAATTTTATAAACGGCTTCTAAGTTGAAAAGCTCCTAATAATGATCAGAAATGACACGATTTTGACTTATTATATACTAGAGTGTTGCAAAACCATCTTTACAATGGCAGCCTAAAATTTAACCATAAAAACACAGGCAATTATTTATCTTATCTATTATGCATACTGTCAAACATGTCCCCCTCCATTTTTACTTTTCGCTTGCTTAAAACTTAAGAGAGACCCTTGCTGACAACAGATCATTCAGAGTAGTGACAACAGTTACTTCTGAAGTTGTAATAAAGCTAGAGATGATTTTCTATTGTAACTAAAATTTTGGTACGAGAAAATTATTCATCCAATTGACAATGTCAAACATTAAAAAAAAAGGGAAAAATTGTGGTGTTAAAAACCAGCTTTAATAAATGACCATTGGTAGCCGAAGTCAGATATCCTCCATAAGTAAAATTTTCTTTTTCATAATTCAAAAAGAACATGAAAACTTGTGTTGACATATAATGATGCAAAACATTACATAAAGAAAATGAGCAAAGAAGAGACGTAATTAGAGACTTTCAAGCCTAATCATTTGCAGTGATCAGTCATGGATATGTAATTTTGTGTGCACTTAAGACTGTCTAATCTAGTCTTGGTTGAGTCAAGTCAGACCTTATGTTTAGTTCTGGTTGGGTGTTGATGTCCATCATGATCATCATGCTGATAAGAGACATAAAATTGTTTCAATTGATGAAAATTCTAAGCTTGTTGAGGGTGATTCTATAGTTGTTATTTATGATCACCAAGAGCATGACCTACAAATTCTTGAGAAAACTGCCTATTTGAACCACTATACCTTTTTGTATTACGCGTAGGCTTATTACTTAACCCATATTCACTTACTTACCTGCGATCAGATGTGAGTGCCATCCACCTTTTTCATCTACTTTGCATTCAGGTGTTCCTACAGGTACAGTCACCACACCAACACTAGAAGAACCTGTTCGGTTCCTGCTTAAGCAATAAAGCTTGGACCAACTTGGGGATGTTCTTGAGGTTCGGACTACTTCATCTTTTATAGGAAATTTTGGAGTAGCATCATTGCTGTAAACTCTCCTTTCTGAGAGTTCTTTTAGCCCAGGAGAATTGAAGGGGATCACGAGAAATTGAATAAGGGCTTAGATTTTAGGCTTAATTTTTACTTTTGATCTTTTAATTTCTTTGGTTTGATTATATGTACGACCTTATTAACGAAATTATCATAAGTAGTAGGAAAATTTTGGCCAATTAATCTCTCTCCATGATCTTCTTTTTCCCTTCTCTCCATCATTCAAGTGTCTCTATTGTATTGTATTCGTTTCCATATCGTTCCGTTTCTAGATAACCTAGATTTCTACACATATAAGCTAGGAAACACGGATACTTCCACAGGGGCGTTGTAGCAGTGCCGGACACATGTCCGACATGGACACGATCAAGATACGGCTGGACACATGACACGGTTAGAAGTGTTTTGAATAGTGAACTTAGTCGGACACCGTCAGGACACGGCTAAGACATGGTCAGATCTAGGACACAACCAAAATTTTTTTTATTAAAACAACTTTTAACTATTAAAAGGAGTGTGACTTTTACTTTTTTTAATATATTTTTTATTATCTAACTTATATACTATGAATATTAATAGATGTTATGACGTTTGATGAAAATGGTAGATATTTAATTTGATCTATTTTAATTTTAATCAAAAAAATAATATTTGTTAGGTCTTAGTATTAATATTGTTATAATGTATGTTTTATTTTTAATATATTATAACTCTATTATTATTTAAAAAATATATTATATTATTTAATAACCGTATCTTTGTTGTACCCGGATCCTATATTTTTTTAACTTTATCGTATTTCAGTGTTCGTATCCATGCTTCCTAGCATACAAGTCAAAGAGAATTTACTATTAGTAGTAATTAGCAGATTTTCTCACCTCATAAATCCCAGGATATAGCCACAACACAGTCCTCCAAAGTCTAGATTTCCTCGCAAATCATGTCATGAGAGTGAGATTGCGAACTCAAACCACTTTAGAACAAAAAGGGATGAGAAAATTAAAATTAATTATAGCGGAAAAAAGGCAATACAAACACACACATCATTGATAACAGACATTAGGTGATAGCATTAGTTAAAGGAAACATTGCAAACTGGAATAGGACAAAATGTGCAACAACTTCACATAATTTGTGCACTGAAACCATCTTTCATAACAGCTCATTAAGCTGTGCTTGTCGATGATAACCAAATTCAAGGAGCCAACCCCAAATACTTAAGATGACTTTTTTTGTTACACCCTTTTAAATAACAGATATGGTTAGACTTGTTCCGATATAATCAACCAAGAATAGAAATAACGATCATAGATGACAGTCTTCCGGGGCAAATCCACAGTAGGGGCAGTGAAATTTTGAAAATGTTTGGGGTATAGGTATAATTTTCAAAAGCTCTAGAATTGTTTGAAAGTTGCCCCCAGTTAAATTTTTTGGAAAGACTACGGAGAGGTTTTATATTTTTCGTTATAAATGGGGTCTTTAATAGATTTAGAGCCTATACTCTAAGGAGAACATCCGATTTTGATAGCTTTTATAATTTTTTTGATTTTTTGGGCGGTAGTTGGTGTTTTAGGTAGCTTGTCTATCTAATTTTTTGTCTAATAATAGACAATTGAACTTAGATTTTTTTAATTTGCACTGAGCAACTATGATTCCAATATGAAATTTATTGATCTTTTTTAAAAATTATTTGTAATTGTAACATCTGTTGAAAATTGGAGGTTGAGAATGACATAAAGGAATTCCATCTGCTTGGATTGAATGTTTGTTTAAATTCTTTGGTGATTGGGGCTTGTATTTGCATGTTAAAAATTCTTTGCTTTTTCAAATTCAATTGATAATGAAAAGATCATTCAATGCTTTTAAAATATGAAAACTCGTGGTGAAAAATCATGAACATTTATTAGATGTTTGATAATTTGAATTTTTTCATGTATAGATATATGAACGCTAATTTTTATTTTATTTTTCAGTAAGGTCTTATCTACAACTTTATAGTAAGCCTTTTTTGTTAATTCTTTTTGTATATGGCTCGTATATACGGTTAGTGTCTTTAATTGACGTTCTTTTAGTGTAATTATATTTTAGTGAACATTTGGAGTTTGAATATTTATATGGTTTACGCTGCCCCCACTACAAAACTTGTCTGGCTCCGCCCCTGACAGTCTTATAATATGTCTTTTATCAAATAACTATATTTTTTACATTCCTTTTTTTCTCTAGAATCTTTCATCTTATATATCTAGAAATCCTATGACGAGTTTTTCTCTGCATTTGTAAAACCCATTTGACTAGCTTGTTAACCTTCTTGGCATAAGTTCAAATGATTCTCTAAGCATGTCTAGAATAAGATCAATATAAGGTCAAACAAGTGAATTCCTGGCCAATGTAGGGTTACATCAATGCTTAATCTTAAGCCCTTAGGCCTTAACTTTTAAGTTAGTTATGAGAAATTAACTAAACTTATTAACAGTTGAACTGATGTATACTATTTTGATTTGATAAGTAGAAATAAGAGTAGAGAGGAGGAAACAGATAGCTAATCGTCGAAAGCCTGCATGACAATGGGTTCGATAAAAAGGATTATGAACACCTGGACCCCACAGGTTCTATGATACTTGCTGCCAGATGTGGATCCATTTTAATCCGATGATGCCAGCCATTGAAACTACCTGCCACCTCCACAGTTTCACCATCCCCCCAGTATTCGATTTCAACCTAGTAGGAAAAAAAGGGGAACTTCTGTTTCATTCCATAACAGTTATTAATGGCATAAGAAAGACACTAATCTCAATGTTCATGCATATATGTGAGGAAAAGCTAAAAAAATACAATATACTATAGGACAAAATGAACTGCTGGCTTTACACCCCACCCCACCCCCCCAAAAAAAAAAAAAAAAAAACGAAACCCCCTGAAAATAAATGGATGCCCCTTTGTCCTCAATACGATTGACTGATTGAGTAGGGATACTTAGCTGATGTGAGTCACCTCGCCCACAATCTAATCATCACACATAAATACCAATCATAGGTCCCCAAGTTTGCAATCACTTCACCTTTTAACATCCAGATTCAGTAATACTTCCACGAGAGCTGCAGTCAATTGCTGCCTTGGAAAGATTGGTGGCCACATGTGGCAAGCCTTGAAGTTTTAAATGTTGAAAATCACTGATACTATTTGGTTAAAAACTCGTGGTTTCCTATGCAGAACTCTTCCACACGCCATTTAGGATTTCACCACTCAGAAGTCAAACACAACCCTACATTTCCATTCCAGTCTCATAAAGTACTTGTTTCTCACAGCTTTTTAGCAGCCCACATCTAGTAAAAACAGATTACGCATTAAACTGGTTGGAGGCTGCTTATTGGAACAGATTTTGTCGATCAGATCCCAAGTGCTAGTATGAAATAACCAATATAGAATTGCTACAACAGGATCAATTCTATAGTGATAATAATCTAAGTCATTGCTTTAACTACATTGGCTGAATGTGAACATGAAAAAATACACATAGGAGAGCAGAAGCAGTACCTCCTCCAGCCCAGAAAGGCCTTCTTCAGCAATGTGTAATTCTGCATTTTTTTCCGAAATTAGTTTCTGCGCTTTGCTTATCTCTGTTTCTGCTTTTGTTTGCAAAACAGACAAGGCAAGCTGAATACAATAATAAAACTAAAATCAAACAAGTACTTTAAAAGCAATCTTTCAGACAAAAGATAAATTATCACTCATTATGAAATAGGGTCATTAAAGTTTGTTACCCACTACCATCCACCAATCTATGGTGTTGGGAGGTATAAACTCGATGCAAACCTAATATATAGCAATGCTGCCTCTTTAATATAGAAAGAACAAATCAGACAGCACCATGAAGCTCACAATCAATTGTCAATTCTTTTAATATATAGCATGTTAATAAAATCGTTCTCTAACTGAAAGCATGCATGCTTAGTACAAAGAACAATGCCAGAAGAAGAGTGGAATGTGTTCCATATTTTCTTGGAAACAGACTTAACTGCTGCAATACATTGCAATGTGCAACGCCAAAAACAAAGAAAAAGCAATCAAGGTTGTGTCCATTTATATTAAGATTTATCCGGGGTGACATTCTATACTAGACTAGATAAATTACCTTTTCTTTTTCAATCTCTTGCTTCAACCGAGACAACTCCAACTCCTTCTGATGCTGAGCATACAAGAATAATATTACAATGGCAAAGAATTTATGCTTACGAACTGAGATATTCAAGACAAATAGAGCTATATCATCACACAAAAAGTAGTACCATCATGAACTTAAGACGATAAATTTCAGCTTGATTTTCCACTTCTCTATTCTGTATTACAAAAGCACGAAAGGCAAGCAAATTAGATGCCAAATTAAGCAATGGACTGACATTTAAAACTTGAAATACATTATATAATAGTGACCTCAGCATCCAGATCGTCATTGTGATCAGCAATTATTAGCTCTTCAGTCCAATCACAATTGTTCCTACAAACAATTGCAATCATAAAATGCCCTCCAATGACTGTAAATGGAAATTCATACTCAAGCTGCACTCTCATGTATGACTAATATACCTTTGACAGCAACACACCAAAAGAGGAATCAAAAGGAAAAAGAAAAAATAACAAAAAATCCATAAAAAATTCCAACATACAAGAATCCAGATTTCAAGGGAAACGAAAAAAAAGAAAAAAATCCATAAACTTTTCCGGTGCAAGGGTCCAGATTATAATTCTATTCCAGCATCACATGAAGGCCAAAAAGAGGATTAGATAATTTTGATAAGAGAGAGAAATTCCAAGGTGTGAAAGCATCTATATAAATATTGTGTGCACACGCATATGTAAGCATAGAGACTTCTTAGGCCACCACCATGCAGCAAAAATCATGTACAAGCACTGGTAAATTGAAATTTAATTTTTGGAAAGTTGGACCTAGGCAATCATAAATAAAGAATTCCTCCTTATTGCAAGTTTGTAACAGCAAATAAAATGTGATAGATGATGACCCTCAATAATTTACATTCAAACATTACAAAATTCAGTTAGCGCATTTTTTCAGAAACAACCACAAGAAAAGGTATTGCTAAGAACCATCAAAGGTGGAGCAAAAAAGGCCTATAAAAGAAAGCCACAGCTGCAGATTTGACTGTATAAATATATGTAGAAAGTACAAACCTTGGAGTATGATTTTCAGACACTGGATGGGCAACCTGCTGGGTTGACAATGTACTGGTTCCATCCAATATTTTAGCAGCATCAGTTCTAACAAGCACCAGATCACTGCGCTTTTCACTGTTGGAACTTGATACTTCTTCTGTGGCATTTTGTGACTCAATAAATATGTTGCCATTTTCATTTAACGTGTCAAAGCCACTACCTGAGCATCAAGCAGGAGAACATGCTCAAGTCAAGACGTTTGAAGCATTAACAAGAATAAATGACAATATTATTTACTACAGTTGCCTATGAAGGATATAACAACTCTTAAAGCATCCAACTCGAAATAATTGATAATGAGTGAAGAGTCTCACATACATTATATACTAGTTTGGGATTTGTTATTATAACAATATGGGACAAGATCTAACACTCCCCACACATGCGACCTCCAGTGGCATGTAGAGAGGCAAACAAAAGAACCTAACATAATAAATTGTAATTATGACACGAACAAAGAGGGTAAATGTTATTGAGTTAATGTAATTGAAATAGAGGATCTTGCTCAAAACCTCCCTAAGTTCAATTCTGATATCATGTTGAAGCATCCAAATCAAAATCAAAATCAATCCACAATAAATTGAGAGGTTTACAAGATCAATAGACTAGTTTTGAAAGCTGATATTGTACCAATGTAGAACAAACTTTAACATCAACATGGTGTCATGGCAGGTTAAATGGATCTAAAACATCATCACTCATAATCTTAAACAACTTTTAATTGAACTTTATCCTATGTGTGCTCTCTTTTGACGGGTGAGCTGTGTAGTTAACTCACAATCTGGTTAAAACACCCAACCATATGGCAATATATATTTGCTGCACATTAGACTCCAAATTTGCCCAGTGAAAACTACATGCTATAAGCCCCATTTTGCAATGCTAGTAATGTGGTTCACTTACACTTTCGCATTCAGGTGGGATGAACTGACTAATGCATTGACAATTGGTATAGCACAGATCACGATACAGATCTATCCCATCATGCACAACTCTTGGAAGTGATGCTTTCAATGTGGCAATTATAGAAGCTTAACAACATTCAGCACTTCAACACTAGTAAAACTAGCACAAATATCTTGTTTGCTCACAGCTTACCCTCAATTGTATCCAATTCTCCAATTTGGATAAATTTGGCTACCTTTTCCTGCAAAGATGAATTAGCTGAAGACTCTGTGGAAATGGAACTTTGGTCATCAGAAATGAGATCCCTATCAATATTCATGGTACTTATATTGTCTTTCATGCTGAGATCTTCTCTTGACCAGGAAAACACTTCACCAAAATCTTTCACTGTCTCATCCTGACCTTTTAGAAGCAACAATGGTATCAATTAAACATATATAAGAAATGTAATTATTTAAAAAAGTAATTTGTTGCCCTGATAAACCAATATTGAGAAACAGTAGTTGACCTGCTAATTCATCCAAGCTAGCACTAACTGTGTCCTTTTTTTCCACCAAGCCTTCTTCCGCATCAGACCCATTGACATTTGTCTCTGTTGAGGTTGCAAGAAGTTCTCTAATAAGTTTATATCCTCTCCGTCGGACAATATTTGCAAGGTCTTGCCTATAGAGTCAACCAGAAATAAATATCAAGCACGCAAGTTGAACTTCAGAAGTATATATTTACTTAAGAAATACAAAGTACTTTTGTAAACAACAAAAATATTTTTTGTCACTACAGATATAAGTGTATGTGTGTGTATGTACTATGTCGTGTAACATATTAACCAATAAAAACATTTGCTACTGGAGTTCCTCCCTATTAAAGGTGAATGAACTAATATTTAACCTAAGAAACCTCATAAGGGGCATTGCCTGGTGCACCATTTAATGTTGGTAAACAAAAAGACCCTCAATAGCCAACACAATTGCAATTCGCAAATCAGTCATAACATTGTTCCAATGTTCCACATTCATGTTGTCATCTTTTGAGAAGTGAAGAAATTACCACATTTAGAATGTTAATATACAATTTCAAACCCAATCACAGACCAAAAATTGTTATTTCGACTCCTTTAATGAATTCAAATCAACACTAAGTACAAATCACGATGTTGACTTTTGACAGGACGTTGTGCAGCTTGACAATAATAATCCAACACGTGGCTGGAGACAGCTGCTGAGGTGCGTGTAAATTAGATGACAGGTCATGCTGAGTGAGTAAAACACTCGGGGCCGAGCACTATTCCTGCTGCCAAGCATTAAATACGACAAGACGGGTCATTAATGGGGTTCATAACAGAATGACTGGACTGTCTAATCCTCGAAAAACGTGGAAGACAATCATCATTTCCTTGCATTAATGGCAGCTAGACCGAGGAGGAGCCTCGGGAGCTCCCGAGGGGACCTAGCATCTATTCATTATGGCTTGGCCGTAAGGTCTTATTATTTTCCTAGAGCACTTGATAGTTGGAGAGGGCGCCTTTAATGCTCGGTATGTTCCCGAGAGCAAGTCCAGGCATCCGAGTGCTCAGCATTAACGAGAAGTGATGGGGCAGCACTCATTATCTATGAAGTACGGACACTTGTGACGTATCCGTGTTGGACACCGACACTCTTCGGATACTCTCGGACACGTGTCCGATACTCTTTTATCTGTGTCCATAATTAAATAATAAATTTTTAATTTTGAACACGTGTCGGACACTTTTTTGGTGACGTGTCCGACACTTCTTTAGAACGTGTCTACTATTAAACAATAGACATGTATTGAAATGTAATTAACAAAATTTAAACCTTTTAAAATATATAATTACTAATACTAGACATGTTAAAATTGTACTCCAAATATAATAAAAGATGCATAAAAGTTTTAAAAAAGATGAATTAAGAAAATGAGAGCAAATATTTAAATTATATATTAGGTACACATTGCCTACAAAAAAAATTGATGATTACTGACTATTATGAGGATGCTTTAGTCTAAAAATTCACAAGAGATGACTAGATATTAGATTTACTTATTATAAAATACTTAATCTTTTATGAATTGTATATCATTATCACTATATTTGTAATAAATTATATAATGCTATATATAAAATATAATTTTTTTTGTAGCGTGTCCTCAATGTGTCAGTGTCCTACTTTTTTGAGAAATATCGTGTCGACGTGTCCGTGTCTGTGTCCGTGTCGTGTCGTATCTTATCTGTGTCTCGTGTCCGTGTCCTTGTTCTTAGCTCATTATACTAGATGGTGACAAGCTACTAAATAATAGGATGGGACTTCGAGTAAGGGAGGCATCATCGCATGTTGAGGTATAAATACCCCTATGAAACTGAGACTCGGGTATGCAATCTGAATTCACGACATCCAACACTTCCTTCCACTTGAGCATCAATTTTATTAACCATCGGAGGGGATTAGTTGATTGTACATCCAACCCCTTTCCTGATTTTGTTGAGTGTTTTTAGGTTCACCATTCGAGTTTGTGTGAAAGATCACTATCTCAACTCATTGCAAGAAATCGACCGTTTAACTTTTAAAATATTCAAACCAAAATTGCCAAAGTCAAACAAAATAAGTGATCACCTCTAAATGAAAAAAAAAAAACCTCTAAATGATGTGGAAATGTTAAGGAAATCCATGAACAAATAGAATGGAGAGACTATTGCTATAGAAACCAACAGCATCATATCAGAACTTCACTCAAACTCTCTAAAGATATAAATTCCAACATTTTCAATTTTGATTCACTTTCTTCATCATGGGTAAGTTGTAATTCGTTATGTCTCCGTAAGTCATTATATGTGTTTTCTTACTATCTCGACGGTTAATTTCTTTTATCTATGAATTATAAAGCATATAAGAATCGTAAACAGATAGAAAATAAAGCCAAAACCTTCCATATTGTGAAAACTCCTTCATTGAGGGGACATGATCCTCCGGTAGACCCACCGCCGATAAAAATTCTCGGATATCCTTGCAGAGATCCGCATTGCTCTTGACCTTCCTGCCGGCGCTATAAAAAACCCACAAAATTTCAACTTTTAGTGAGAATAAAACACATCCACAAGCACTTTCCGAAAAAGAAAAACACCTACAAGCAAAATCGTCAAAAAAAAAACAAAAAACATATGGGAATTGAAGAAAACCTGGGTTTCTTGATTGAAGAACCACAAATTATGTGATGGTGGTGGTGGCGGTGGTGGTCTAAGTTGAGAGAGGGGAGAGGGAGAGAGAAGAGTTTATGGGAAGAGAGAGAACAGAAGGTCGAGAAGTGAGAGAATGTTGCCATGGGATTGCAGTACTCGTAAGAGATCTTGATATAGTTTTTGCAGCATCGAGAGATTCTGGGTTGAAACAAGTGCATCCCAGTGAAGGATTCTCACTGTACAGCTTGAGCGTGTGTCGCTAAAGACACAGTCCTTTCTGAACCAACGGGAGTGTATCTGGAACACGATGATAAATTTTCTTTTTTTCTTTTCCAATGGTCCGAGTGTCAGCCAACATATACTCACATCGATTAACACCATTTCCGATCAGTTAAAAATTAGGTTAATTGCACTAAGAGATATATAAGATTTGTCTTATTTTAATCTTTAATGTTTCAGTTGTATCATTTTTATCCTTAAAGTATTAAATATTTTTTCATATAGTTCTTTAAACAAATAACGTTCAGATTGCTAACGATTTTTTATCATAAACTAATCACGTAATAGCTAAATATGGACAAAAAATAATTTTGATAACTTTTAAACAAAATTTGGGTAGCTCTCGATAAAAATATGTGTAATATGGATAGTTTTTGACCAAAATTTTGGATAGCTCATGATTAAAATTGTGTAATTTAGGCAGTTATTTAACCAAAATTTGTGTAAAAATTTGGTCAAGAATTATCAAAGTTATTTTTTTATTTATATTTAAGTATCACATAACAAGTTTATGATAAAAAAAAAATCATTAGTAATTTAGACATTATCTACTTGAGGAATGATATAAAAACATATTCAATACTTCAAGGTTTAAAATGATGTATTTTTTTTTTTTGAAGACGAAAATGAGACACTCTATATTTTAGAGACCTCCGATGCAATTAACCCTAAAAACTAAATTATCACTATAGAAATGATGAGGAATAAATTTTTTTGCCAAACTTTCAAAGTGATGAATAGGTAGCATATTTTCAAAAGGGGTGAGAGTTTAATCTAAATTTCAACTGGATCCAAATTTATGAATTAATTTTATTGGCTAATTATCTAAATTTTAATTCGAATTCATTATCATAGATGGGATGTTTATTTATTAATTCGAATATAAACTATAAAAATAAAATTTCTTGAATAAATAATTTGAAATTAGATGTATAATCCGATTCGAATTCGATTTGCTGACATATCTATCTATACTTTTTAATAAATATTGAGTAAGCATATGATCACTCATAAAATCACTATGTTTATTTTACCAATTGGATTATACTATGACAAGTGAATTTAGGATCTTAAATTAATAACTGATAAAATCATGTCATTTGTTTTGATTTAGGATACCTCATAAATTTGAATGTATTTTGTTTAGTTCCTGTTAGTGACTCATGGTCATGATTTAATTGATATTTGTGGTTTGGGGGTGATTACAGTTATTTAAGGTCTATTCTGGAAAATAAAAGAAATGTAATCTGTTTTGTAGAGGTTTTCAATGATCATAAATTTAAAATAAAAATATTGTGCATACTTATGTTCACTTATTGTTAATTTTCCCAAAAATAAATGTGGCATCGAAAAAGCCAAAGAAAAAAAAAGGAGACCACATGTCCACATTTCAGCATTTTTTAGTCTTTAGGTCCAATCTGAAAAGTTCATAAAAGTAATTGTTAGAGTTTTTTGATTAAAAGAATATTCTCACATCGATTAAATATCTAAAAAAATTATTTTTGTATATATATATGTGTGTGTGTGTGTGTGTGTTATATCTAGCCTATGAGTTAAACTGAGATCTTCGGACTCTTACGTGCAGAGAAATGGGATAAGTAGAGGGGATACGAATTTCTAAAATCTACAACACACATTGACACTGGCTACCCTAGTCTACCACCCAGGTAGCGGGTACCCCTGGCCAGTTTGTAATATTTTATTTAATTATTTTTTGTCATAACTCCTATACTAAAAATTTAGTTGTTGAATATCAAAAGTCCTAACGGGTAGTTTTTCAACAGTTTACGAGACACACTAGCTACCCTAACCCGCCACCCGAGTAACGGGTCCCCTTGGTCACTTTTTAATATTTTATTTAATTATTTTTTGTCATAACTCCTATATAAAAATTCAGTTACTGAATATCAAAAGTCCTAATAGCTAGTTTTTCAACAATCTTTTAGACACACTAGGTACCCTAGTCCGCCACCAGGGTAGCGAGTGCCCCGGCCACTTTTTAATATTTTGTTTAATTATTTTTCATCATAACTCCTATATTAAAAATTCAGTTGTTGAATATCAAAAGTCCTAACGATTAGTTTTTCAACAACTATTTTTTTACATATTATCTGATTAAATATGGGAGTAATTACGAAATATCAAACACATATATTTTGTATATATATATTTATATATTTCAGTATAGATGGCATACAATCAGATATCTACTACAATCTCTCTACTATATAGGTTTCTAGGCAATATTCAAAGGTGTCGCGTGAAGCTTCTGCTTCATTCGATTGTGCAGATCCAAGTGAAGCAACAATCGATAAGTTGGGCTGTTATGTCCTAAGGATGACACATTGTTACCTTATGCGTTGTGATTCTTTCATAAAGGGGAGTGAATCGTCTTAAAAGAGCGACATAATCTGCGCCCCACCCTTCTATTCACTTTATTTTTTGCATCCCATTTTTCCTACAATTTAAGATGATTCATACTCGATGAAGAATTCTGCGATAGTCACTTCTATTGTTTCATCTACTAGATCAAACGATCTTAACAAACCATTTCAATTCAATGAACAGTTCTTCAAAAGATGGACAAAAAAAGTTCTATCCTATCTCAAATCGATGAAGTTTGCACGGATTCTCATTGCAAAAAATCCAAAGAAAGTGAACAAGAAAAGTATGAGTGCAGAAGATCTAGCAGAGCATGAAAAAAATTTAGCAATATGAAATATTGACGAAGATAATTGTCACAATTATTTGCTCAATTGTCTTTCTAATGAGCTATATGATTATTATTACAATTTTTATTCATTTGCCAAAAAAGATATGAAAAACTTTGGAGGCGAAGTACGACATAGCAGAAACAGGGACGAAAAAATATGCTTGTAACTGCTATTTTAAATTTCAAATGGTGGAAAACAAATATGTAATTGCTCAAACACATGAGTTACAGATGATTGTTCATGAAATTGTGTTAGAAGAAATTAAGGTGGATGAACAGATTCAAGTTGCAACAATTATCGACAAACTACCAGTTTCGTGAAAGGAGTACCAAAAGGTCTTCGTCACAAGCAATTAGAATTAAGCATGGTGACTTTGATGACTCGGCTTCGAATTGAGGAAGAGGCAAGAAAACAAGACAAGACCAACGAAACTAACATAAATCTCAATAGTAATAGAAAAAAACAATAAAGTACATTTTTATCTCATCCAATGATAATGCCTCTAAGGGTGAAATAATAGAATCAGTACCTAGTTGAAGCCTAGAGGTAATAACATGAAAAACTTTAATAAGGCTTCAAATAAAAACTAATTTCAAAAAAAATGGAACCAAATACCAAACCAAAGACCCCCTTCTAAACAAGTACCATATAATAAAAATAATCAGTCAAATAATGATGCTTGTTTTGTATGTTAAAAATCTGGGCATTTCTGTCAAAGATTGTCGTTTAAAAAACGTAGTTATGCTCCTCAAACTAATGTGACCGAGGAACCACTTGTGGCCATGATTACTGAGGTTAATTTTATTGAAAATAATGAAGGGTGGTTGGTAGATTCTAGAGCTTCCAAACATATATGTCATGATAAATCTTGGTTCAAGTCTTTTTCTCCCGATGAAAATGAAAAAGGTGTTCCTTGGTGATTCATAGTGTGAGTGTTTTGGGCATGAGAGAGGTCCAACTCAAATTTACATCTGACCGAGTTTTGACTCTAAGAGATGTTCTTCACACTCCTGAAATCAGAAAGAATTTGGTTTCTGGTTATCTTTTAAATAAAGCTGGTTTCAAACAAACCATAGAATCTGATCATTTTGTTTTGACCAAGAATGAGTCATTTGTTGGTAAAGGTAGGGGTGCAACTTGGGTGGGCTAACCCAATTTTAACCCGAGCCCAACCCAAAAAAATTAGGGCTTGAGTTATGGTTTTTAACACTTGGATTGACCCTGGGTCAAAAAATCTCAACCCGAATTCAATTTGGACGGGCCTAGGATTGAACCCTAGGGTTCCAGGGTTCAACCTGAATATTCATAACTATATAAATATATTTTTAAGTCTAGGGTTAATCTGTTCTGAACTCTTCATTATACGCCTCTCTCACTCACTATTTAAGTAGTGAACTCTATGTTTGTACAAGGATTATGTTTGTGTTTATTTGTGTTCTGTATGGTTGTGGTTGCGTTATCTCAAATATTGAGTTTTTAATATTATGATTTTTATGTTAAAACCTTGATTGAAGTTGTTGGCTGTTAATTTAGGTGAATATTATATAATATATGTATCAGGTTTAGAACAAGTCTATTTTGGCCTCAACCCGAATTGAACTCGTAAAGTAGCCTGAAATCATTAACCCGAATTCAACCCGAGCCTGCCCAAATTAAACTCGGGCAATGCTTAGGTTGAGTCCTTCAACCCGGGGTAGGGTTAGGGTTAGGGTTAGGTTACGGTTATGGTTGAAGATTATATACCTAGGGTTGAGCTAGGATTGATTGTCCAACTTGCCCGAGTTGCACCCCTTGGTAAAGGTTATATTCGTGATGGTATATTCAAGCTGAATGTTAAAATGAATATAATTACTTCTTCCGTTTACATTATTTCT